CTATTCAAAACAATACTCTTTAATACTCCGAAATCTTTGAATACACTTTATATCAGTGTTTATACAAACTTTAGCGAAATGATTGCTTTGTTAATAAATATATATCAAGCAATTTTCATGAATTTATTAATAATTACTAAAACCATATTATAAATATTCTTATTTAATTTCGATAGAGGTAGATTTGTAATAAAATCTATAGTTATCTTTTTCCAAGATCTATAGGGTATAGAAAGGGTTTGCAACTTGCTATAGGGTTTATGCCTTTTGATAGCAATCTACTGATATATTGTGTATATTTTAATATATATTTTTATATCTTTCCTTATTGAAAGCTAGAAGTATTTAGATCTCAAGATTTCTAGAGTTTTAGAAATACTCCAATGTTTATCTATAGGATTATTGTGATGGGCTTCTAGGATCTTTACTCTCAAAGCAGAATCTGGCGGTATGTAGGTATTCTCATTGTGTTTAAAAAGCCTATTAGCATTTACCTGCTAAGGTAAAACAATTCTAGTAGAGTATAATCTTTGATTTAGATATTCTTTATTCTTTATAAAATCATTATTCACTTGAAGTCGCAATAAAGCATTTCTTATTGTTTCCAATATTGATTTAAATACTATTTTATCTTCTATTAAAATACAAGCTATTCGATGTGGTATTGATTATTTACAATCAGCTTCAATCAGTGAACTCGATTGTCCACAGAACGATAGATTATACCCTTTCCTTTATAAAAGATTTATAATGTTATATAGGGGCTCCGTTTTCTTGACAGGGGAATTTTAAAACAATTTTATAATTATCGATTTATTTCTCAATTTATTCTGAAGAATCGGAAGTATATTATTAATATCCTCTATATCGATAGTGTAATCGGGGTGGTGCGATGGCCTATCTACAGGATTCAATTTTCTTGCTCTATATACTATCTCAAAATCGTATGTAACCAAAACCTCCGTTTATCTTGTTTATCGATTATTTAGGCTTTTCTTTATTATAAAGTACTAGAAACTATTGTGATCCAACTTAACTACAATAGTATATCGACTCCCTATCGCATAGTAACACTACTATACAAAAACGATATATATCGCTAATAATTCTTAATCATAAATGAAATATCGCTATTCCACTAGATTTAGTTTCCTCGAATAAAACACAATAAAGTATTACTATTAGACCAATGCATCTTTAATTCTTTCCAAGAAAAATTGTAATAATATACAACCCAATGCAAAGATCGAAGTATCGGTTTCGATTATCATATAGAGTAAGGGATTGAAATACTGGAGAATAGATGCTGATGTGAAAACTTTTTCAATACTTCGAATGCCTTTTATACTTTGTTAGTTTATTTGAATTCGATTACCGTTTTCTCTTTCTATATTCCTTTCATTAATGCAGTCATACTATGGGTCACTATTGAATAGGCCCTGATAAACCGTTGATAAAAGTTCGCAAAGCCAAAAAACACTTGTATATCCCTTAGGCTATTAGGTGTTAGCTATTTCGTAATAGTTTGAATACGCCCGGGTTCTATTATAATCTTTTTAGCTGAGATAACGAATCCTAAAAATTCGATTTCGTTGATATAGAAGATATATTTCTTTAACTTTGCGAAAAGCTTATATTCAATAAGATATACGAGTATTTATCGGATATTCGCTGTATATATAGTTCTATCTTTGGAATAGATTAGAATATTGTTGAGGTATATTATATATATATTATTCACTAACCCTGTTAGTACTTGATTGATATATGTCTGAAATGTTGTAAGGGTATTAGTAAGACTGAAAGATATTACCTTATACTTATACTAACTATATCGTATGCGAAACATTATCTTTCATTTATCACCCATTCTTATACGGATACAATAGTATGTATTCTCAGATCTAATTTAGTGAATATAATATCTTATCGGAATCGGTCTAGGGATTCACTAATAAGGGGTAAGGGAGTTCGATTCTTTTTTGTAATTCAATTAAGCTCTCAATAATCGATATATAATCAATAACCTTTCTTTTTCTTTGGAACGAATATGATAAGAGTTTTTATTAAGCTAATGGATTTTCTTATTTATTCTTTCTTTTGATACTTATCTAAATAGTCTTGTAGTATTACTAACTCTTCTTCTGATAAGAAATAGATTGAGCCTTACAGGGGGGTTGAATCGGGTTTGAGATTAATGCGATACTTTATAGAATAGTATTCGAGCAAAAGGCTACTTTCTTTTTCAAAAAAAGCTTTCTTATATTCTTGGAATTCCTCTAATATTTTATATAAAATTAATACGAGTATCAAATAGCCCCCTTTTATCTTTAAATACGATATTATTTTATTCAGGAAGATTATGAAGACTGTTTTGCTTTCTTTTATTTTTCAATAAAATTCTTTTGTAGAAATAATTTCAAGCTTGTTTAAGGTATAATGATATTGAAGTAATATTGATTTTCAATCAATATCGAGATTGACTGTTTATAATTATGGAAGATCTAGGATAGCATTTATTTGTAATAGATCTAGTACTGTTGATGTGAAATTATGGGTATGGGTTTTCCTTTCCCTTTTTTATCTTTTATTTTGATAAGGAATTTGTAGTCCCTATATAATGCAATTGCAGTACTATTTGCTGATATAAAGGAAGTGCTTTTCTTGGTAAGGATTTAGTCCCACTTAATATATTTGCTTTGCTGTATAATATTAGTTTACACTTTTAAATTAATAAAGCACCAAAGTATTATTGATTTGCTATTGTTATTAAAGATCGCTATAATTGTGAAGATTGTTTGTCTTTCCTTGTATAAATCTAATGTTAATAGAATGCTTATTATAATTATTAGATCTAGATATTTCCTATACGAATAGTTTTAGATAGGTTATTTAACAATCGGATCTCTATACCTCCCTCCATAATATTTGCATACAATATTGTTTTGACAGATTGTAGTATAATGCCCCTTTTGTTGATATCTATAGTATATAGCGTTTCAAATACAATCCGTATATAGTATCTCAACAAAATATTTCAGAGCCTTAGAGAGTTTTCTTCAAAAGAGTTGGTTGGATTCTTGGGCCTCTAGTTTAATAGTTAGGGTTGGATTGTTTTCTAAATGGAAAATATTTAAAAGGGTTTCGATATCGAAAGAATAATTGATTATGTTTGCGGGGTTGCTGTGGCTCCCTTATATCTTTTCCTCAGAACAATTTCTCTATATTTTTTAATCTACAAACTTATCTTATAAGCTTATTATACAATTCAGATTATTATAAAAATTCCGAGATTTTTCTAATTATATTGGATAATAGACTTACTAAAAGTCTCTCGATTCAAACACTCTTCATTTCCTGCTCGATATCTTTTTCAAGGTCTTCTAGATAAATTATAAATATATTTACAATTTCTCCTTCCCTTTGTTTTGTATATATAATCTTTTGGATTACTTGTTACTATTTAATCTCTTTGTTTATAATAACATTATATATATATTCCCTAAAGTTTTTTCAGTTTATTTCTTTGTAACTCGACTCACTTATATATCAACACCAAATTGTCAAAAACTGTTTTTCGAAATATTGGATGATATATTCTATTTTCTTTATATCGATAGGGAAATGGTATCTATTATCACTTCGAAATATAATTTCTATCTGGAAAAAGAAGTTCTTAGCTTTCTCGATATTCTTTTCTTTATATTATTTTAATCTCTACAATTTCAGTAGTTTTCCCAAATTAAGGTTAACAATCTGGTGGATTGTATTCAGTACAATTACAGGTTGGTTATACTCAATCGAGATAATTGTATATAAGATGTAGTCCATAGCTATTCTATAAGCTTTTCTTATAACTACCATTTCTTCTTTCATTTCTCAAAATTGTTAAGTCAATAATACATCCTCACTATTACTAAAAAAGCATAATAAAATCAAATAAACATTACTACCAATACCCTACAGAAATTGATCAACAATTTCACCGGATTGATCTTGAATCGCACTACGGACATCCCCGCTCTCCTTTTAGGATAGATATTCTTCTTATTGAAATTATAGTATATCGATAATTACTCGACTAAGAAATAATTAACAGATTGCTCTATATATAAAATAAAAAGAATTGTTAAAATAAATAATAGCAATAAATCAACTAGATATAATATAGCACAAAGACTTTTCATTAATTTCTCTAAACTATGAAAATTCTACAATTTATAATTGTGTGCAGGTTGGTGTCGGCCCGGGGTAGGCCCGCAGGGCTACTCACGTGTCCTCGCCAGCCCTTACGCGGATTGACCGTGACATCTGAAAGGACGAGTCTTCGCTTTAAGCTTAAAGTGAACTATAAAGGCCTTTGATTTAAGTTTATATTTATATAATTACTTATTACTTATTACTCATCTTACTTATTACTCATCTCATCTATTCTCCTTCTCCTCCTTTTTATATCTCATTTCCTTCTATACTTTTCCCTTTCTCCTACCCTCTCTCCTACCCTCTCTCCTACCCCATTCCTTCCTATTCCTCATCCCATCCCTTCTCACCCTACCCCCTCCCCAAATCCCATCCCATCCCATCCCAACCAAACTCCAATCTAAATCCTTATAATTTCAAATTTCAAATATCAAATATCTCCTATTCATTTATCTCCCACCTTAAATTCCTTTTTTTCTTTCAAAATCCCTATAGTTTTTTATATTCCTTTTTTTTATCTTTCGTTTTCTCCTCTCCTCCCTCCCCAAATCTCCTTCTTTTCTCCCCCCCTCTTTCACCCTCCCCCCAACTCCCAACTCCACAAAATCAAAAAATCAAGAACCCCATATAAACAAACAAACAAACAAACAAACAAAATTCTCACAAACATCATTCATTTCTTTACTTTCCTCCCCTCTTTCCTCTCCTCTTTCCTCCCCTCCTTCCTCTCCTTTTTCCTCTTTCCCCCCTTCGTTTATCTTTTCCCCTATTCCTACTTCCTTTCCCCTCTCCTGCCCACTTCAAGAGTAATCTACTTCCTATCCACCCAAGAACAGAGTAGTCTAATTCCTTTCCTTTCCGTCCATTTTCTTAATACCTCAAAACTCAACTTCAACTTTGATCTCTACCTCTACCTCTACCTCTACCTCTACTTCTCTCTACCATAACCCCAACCACAATCCCAACTCAACCAAAGAAAAATTCTAATTCTTCAAGATCCCTAGACATACGCAACATATACCCTAGATAATCACCAACCACATCACATCACATCTCACCAAACAAAGTTTCCACTTGTATTTCTTTACCATTTGTATTCCATTTCTACCTTGTACCTTATTTATCTTATCTTATAATCAAGTCCTCGCCCACACTTCCCAAATCATGCACTTGTATCTTCCCATCCCCCGGACTATTTCACCAACTCAACCCTCATCCTCGGCCCTGTTCAGTCTAGCCTGGCATCTCAATGCCCGTATCATTATCTCCACGCGCCATACAATTTCACTCCTCCATATCCTCAATTCCCAATTATCACTATGAGAGCCAAGAGCCGGTAGCCAGGAACCAAAAGACAGGTCTGAACAAATTCAGCCAGGTAGCCCAATCAGCATCCCTCATCCATCAACCGAATTCACCCCCAAATAATCAACTCCATTCTCTCAAATCCCTCTCTCACGTTCTGATCCACTCAGCTATGTAGGTCATCACAAATTAGCCGGGTAGTGTACTTATTCCCCAACTCCGAAGCCCATCGCATTTGCATAGTTCACCTAGCATTTTTGATTAACACAAAAGGGCATTGTAAATCAAAAACCCATAAGGGAAACAAAAAATGAAGCAAGAGCTAGAAGTAAGAAAGGCAGAAAAAGAATGAAAAGTAAAATGAGGTATAAAAAAAAAGAGTAAAGAAAGAAAAAAGTTCCCAATCGTAACACATTGACTTTATTACATAAACTCCCAACCAAAACCTTTGAACCCCATAATGGCACTCCAGTGATTCCATATATCTTTGGAGAAAACTATTCCCATCCCCGCACCTTTGATATATTCCCAATTCCCAATTCCTATCAACGAAGGTGTGCTGTTGTATATTGGTATTTTCACCATGACATCCCCAAGAACCTTATTCATCCTTATAATAAGATTAGGTAATTCGAAGGTGCTATTCCAGTGTCTCCGTTTTCTTTCTTGGCTTGCCACCATCTCCCACTTACGTCTGAGACTTCTAATATTTCGTGTTTGGCGAAACTAATCTCGTTTGCATCATCTGGATTGGCATCGTAAGAGTAAATGGCCTTTGCTCGATATGGGTATTCTGTAGGTTGGATGACTTCTCCTGGTGTAGGTTCTGAACCCATTCCACCATTTGGACCAAGATTGCTGGCTCCAAATCTTGGTTGTGATGAGTTGCGCTCGGCTCCTGCGGCACCTCCTGGGAATCCTGCTACTGGTGAAGATGTTTCGAAACCACCTAATTGCGCTGATGTATACATTTGGGGTGGAACGTTTGACGAGATTGAAGTATCCGGTCGACCAATTCCATAACCATTTCCATAAGCAGTCGACATTCCTCTTCCTGACGATACTCTGTGGTCTTTATGAAGTGCGAACGAGTCAAGGTATGCTCGAGGTACCGCTGAAGGTGTTGATCCAAAGTAGAACATCCAAATAATCTAGATTCAACATTAGTAAGGGATCTAGACCGTTCAGACCAAACAATCTTACCGCAACCATAGAGAGAAGGATGTGTCCGGCAGCAGCTGCTTCTTTTGCTCCATTTGAAGAATAAATTAATGAATTAACCGATGAACTTGTTAACACGAGACCGGTAGCCAAGAAACCAACGATAGCAACATGATAGGTTTGAGTTGTATCCGATGCTATCACGACAAATATACCTAGAATGCAACACAGCATATATGCAATCGTAAACCATGAATAATTTGGAAATCCGTCATTAGATGCGTGTGATGCAGTCGCCAATATCGATCCAATGAAAGCAATAAGCCATGCAAGCTATCAATCGTTCATGTCAGTAACCATTGCATGTAGAGAATGAGGCGCAGTAGATATCCACGACTTCCAAATAACATACCATGGCAATCGAGATGGTCGCCAGCGCGAATGGATCTCCTAGAATAGTATCCATACTCATTCCACGCATTCCCGCTGTCCTCCGACCTTTATAATCCGATTGATTCATTGTGTGTGGTGAAGGCGAGGTTAATGTTTTGTTGGGTCTAAGTAAGATCTACAAGATCGAGAGAGGGAGAGGGTTGTTGTTATTGTTGAACGTAATTATTATTGTCGACTCAGGTATTATCGTCGCAAATAAGAGCATTCGATTCAATCGAACGAATTGTCAATCGAGGATGAAGAAAATCGAGGAAATAAGTAAATCCAATATTGAAGAGGTTCGTAGAATAGGTTGGTGGGTGGTTGAAGTGATGTTTCAGCTGCAGTGACTGAATTAAGGAATCTACTTCAATAGATTGAAGCAAGCAAATGACAAAAATCCCGATGAATCAATTCAACGCAACGCTCGTTATTTGGGGTATCGTAATTTTGAAAGCTAACCACAGCCCAGCAGTAGCAGCGACCTTAATTTGTGTTTGAAAATTAAAAACGATATCACGAGTATTGAGTGATAAAGTTGAAAGAGTGTGGTTGTGGTGTAAAATAAGATCCAAGGTAATGTGTGTGTGTGTGGAGGGTTGTTGCGTGCGTGGTTTAGAAAAAGGGGATCGATGGGTGTGATGATACGCGCAATGGCACGAGAATTGAGGGAAAAAGGTTAAAAAGGTTTAACAAGGTATATCGTATGTGTATGTCTGTACCTATATGTACCAGGGATGGGTGAAGAGTGAACAATGTGTATGTATGAGTGTATGTAAGTGTACGGGATATGCAAGTTCCCAGATTGCTGTATGATGTGATGTGATGTGATGTGATGTGATGGATGGATGGATGGATGGATGGATGAACCTTAATGAATAGAAAGGGAAATAATGAGTGGATGTGGCTAACGGGGAGGTTACAGAAAAGCGACCAGATTCGAGTAGGATTTGGGGTCAAGAGTGAATGAGTGAATGAGTGGATGAGTGGATGAGTGGATGAATGAATGAATAAATGGTGAGACGGATGCTCCTTTGGCGAGAGAGAGAAGAATGATATGAACGAAGGATGGATGTAGGTATGTATGGGGTAGGGCAGAGTGAAGAGTGAAGAGTGCAGGTTAAGTGTGTTTAGGCTGAATGAGAGTTGGTCTCGGAAATCCAAATGTATAAGATTGATTGGATGGATGGATGTGATGATTGATTCAATGGTAATGGTAATGGTAACGGTAATGGGATGGAATTCCTAGATGAAAATAAACGAAAAACGGATCACGGAAAGCAAAGCAGAGCAGAGCAGAGCAGAGCAAAGAATCTAGAGTGTCTGGATCTAGCCAGAGGACTAGGTGTAGGTACTAGGTGCACTTGGTAATAAGAAATAGATACGAATCAATGATTTAAATGATTAACCTTTTACACCATCTCCCTAGTCCTCCGCAAGGAAGAATGGCATCTTATTATTATTTGCAAGGCTCGAGCAAGAAGCAAGGGAACCGATTCTTCGGTAGATTGGAGTGAGGCTTAGGATTTATGCTAGTCGCCTAATTGATTCTCTATGCTGCATTCATTATGATATTCATTACTTGTATCTCGCACACCTCTACCTCGACTTGGTCTCCTGTTCCTCGATTGTTTTAAACATTTACCCATATCTATCATACCTATTCCTATACCTATCTAATATCTAATATCTAATATCCAACATCCAATCTCCAATCTCCAATATAACACAACATTTCATCATTATCCTCTCCCCTCCTCTCCTCCCTCCATCGTATCACATTCCCATAAGATTTGACTCCCCAAACCATCGCATCGTATTGGTTGAAAAAGACGAAAAACCTATGGGGCCCTCTAGCACGACGCACGCTTTAGGGAAATTCTTTGCTTTAGTTTAGTGTGTCTAGGTCAAGACTCAACACCTTTTCCATCCTGGGCTGGCTTACACGTTCTAGATTTGCAGGTCCGAGTTGTTTCAATCCCATGCTTACCTGCTTACCTGCTTACCTGCTTACCTGCTTACCATGCTCCAGTGTGCTCGCTTCCGAGCTTCCTTAGCTTGCGATGTGTTTTTATTAGTCAGGTACCGGATGTTGTGGTGTGGGAATTCATTTGGTTCCTGATATTGATCTGTTACCAAGGTAGTATATATACATACCTCCATCTATACACATATCTCCATTTATATACATACCTTCATTGATATATATACATCTCCTCAAGCCCTCTCTAGAACAATAGGACAACAGAACACACAAACACAATCTCAATCCCTACAATATCACAAACCTGATCATTCAAATCCCATCGACATCATCAATAATCACTCATCAATCATTCTCCCTCCATAAGCTCCGTATATACATATTCCCTCAAATTAATAAACAATTCAGTACCTACCTACGACTAACTACTAACTACTACCTACTAAAGTAACCAACTACCTCCCTAGTAGCTAAATAAATAAATTTATACTTTTCTCTCCCCCCTCCCAGGGTCTCCGATCCATTTTTTAATCTTCATTCTTCATCACAAAAATCAATTCTAGACTTTAGGATCATCCATCCACACACGTTTCAAATTTCAGGGGTCAAGTCCAAACCCTCACTCACGCACAAGGTTCTTTCTTCTTTTTCTCGCCAATTCTATTTTTTGGGGATTTCTTGAGTTCTGAGAAGTAGGAATATGGAGACTATGTAGGTACGGTGCTCACTCCACTCTACTTCTGCTTGGTATTTCTTCTACTTTACGAGTGTTTTACGAGTATAACGAATTCATCTGTATGTATGTATATATAGTAGTAGTAGTAAATTCATAATCGATTCGGTCTATGTTATGTATATATATATGCGATCTAACCACACCTAAATATCTCTCTCTATCTTACCCTTATTACTACATACCGATTACCTATCTACTCACTACCTAGGTAGATACTTCTATTTCATATCATTTCACATCATATCATACCACATCATACCACATCAAACCACACAAAAACAACAAACAAATCACCATCTCCCATCTCCTCAGCACAGCCTTCTTCTGCACTCCGAGATTCCGCACCGCTACGGAGTCCACAGCACGCACAGCACACCTACCTGCACAACACGGACCTCAAGCTCGTGTGCTCGTGCTGGTTCCTGGCAGCGGTGATGTGCAGTGCAGTGCAGTGCAGTGCAGTGTTAATAATAGGTTCCCTAGTCTCCTCTACCCTTCTCTACGTACATACATACATACGTACTTGTCAGATACAGATACAAACCACATAAAGTCCAACCTCCAACCTCCAACCTCTAATCTCCAATCTCCCATCTCCCACCTCCCACCTCCCAAGAAAAGGAACTGTGCTTCCATATCCATAATTACCATTTAGTACATACATATTAGTATCTACAAACCCAACTCCAACTCCAACACCCCATACCATACCATACCATACCATAATCAATCCCCCATTCTATCATACCTCATACCTCATACCTTATCCTCACACCACCAAGCCGCCATTAATGACTACAGAGTAGGTAGACATTATTCCATTTCTCAAGTACTGTATCTAGGTATCTATTCTACCACAAGCAAGCAAACAAGCAAGCAAGCAAGCAAGAGCATATAATATAATAGATAGCCTATGTGTATATATACATATAAATATACATATCCATATACGTACACATAAATATAAATACATCTTACAATACATCAAACACCTACCTACCTACCTACCCAGTAAACCCATTTACCCAACAAACCATACCAAACCAAACCATAACATCAACCGACAGACCCTTCCACTCAAAGAAAAAGAAGAAGAAGTTTCAAGATCTTCCTCACCCCTCATCTCCCCTCATCTTCCCTCTTCAAAAAAAAAAAAAAAAAAAAAAAAAAAAAAGAATGACGATCCACACGTCCCACACCGAAACGAGCATCTACTTACTAATACCGGTACTAGACTCCTATGATAGGTACTCTCATGCTATACAGTACTTTGAACCGTTAGGAACCATGGATCGATCCGATCAAGTACCGGTATTTCTCAAGCTATCTCGTTATCTTGTTATTGATGTATTCTATACAGAGTATCTAGATCTTGTCTATCTACCCTACTACCTAGTATGTTGATGTTGATGTTGATTGAAAACTGGAGTTGTGGAATTTGGAACATTACGATGAAGTACAAGTAGGTACTTACTACTTATTACGAGTACTTACCACCCACCAATAAATAAAAGACAATCGATGTGAGAACTCCGAACGGCGAAGAAAAGATCTTCTGCTACCTACCCCTACCAGTGAGCGCCTTCTCCCCCACATTTATCACAATGGCTCGTGCTGTGCTTGCTATGTGATAATGCTTGGCCTCATCATCCTCATCATGCATGTATTTCATTATTCAGACTCGTTGGCGCCTTACAATATCATGACTGCTAAGATCACGATTCGTGATACTCTAACGTCACAGATTTGAATGGAAAAGTGTTCTCTAGATATTGAAACACGTTAAGAATGTACTCAACTACACGTGTGAATGCTGGTTCCTAACTACGCGGTTTCTTCGCCCCTAAGCTCGTGCAGCCTCTACCTTATCAACCATTTCCACCGATGATGGCTGTTCATCCCTTCGCAAGCGGCAACGGTAATACAACGATTACTAGAGACATATCTGACTGATACATGTGATAGCTGGTATGTCATAGCTCAGACCGTTAATATCTTTGTGGCCAATTCCTGAAACGCGGATCATACAACCCCCGGAGTCTTTCATTTCTCAGCTGTAGTATCATCGCCTTGTCCAAGATATTAGGACGTATCTCTCCGCAATTACTCAAACACTGCTAGAACAGACTCATCATCACATCGAGATGTCGATGGTGCTCTGACCCAGAGACGTTTCTCTTCCATCTCACTTCACTAACTTCACTATGACGTGTATTTCTTTGGTATGTTCCCACTGGGATGTCAAGCTTCTGAAAACGTGTTGGCCTTGAGAAATGTGAATCTCACTCCTGAGCTATTCCATCATCCAATTGTTTCAGCGTTGTGGCTCTTCGAACTTTTTGCTCTACATGTTGTACTCTTTCTTCCAACTCTGCCCAACTTTCACCTGTTCGCAATATATCAACAGTATACCAACGTTGAATTACCGCCGCGGTTCTTTGCCTCAACGCTGATAACTCCGCATTTTGTGCCATCTGGAGAGCTTCAATCTTCGCGATTCGAGGTTGTAACTCGATCAGTTGAGCGGACGATTCTGCTGATGGGATTGGCATGTCAAGAATAGAGGTTAATCGAGAAGCAGTAGATGGATATGCGCTGGCGGATGCTAACACGATAGATAAAATACTGGACGTATCGAGAGTGGTAGGTAGTATATCTGGGTCAATGGATTGAAAGAGGTCGGGATATTTGGCATCTAGAAGGTATTAGTGACTATTACTGAAGCGCCCCCATAAACTACGATAAACTCACGTAACTGCAATAAATCCTGAATGACCCTTGATTTCGAAGCAAGTCCATGTAGAATATGTTCTAAATCTGCAAGTCGTTCATATGCAGATATAGATACATCGGAGCTTGTGACAGATGTAGTGTCAATATGACCACACACAGCATGTTCTATCCTCCGTAGTCGGGCTTCTAATAGATCAATAGTTTCCGAGGCTGTCTTATCGAATGTGTTTATCCATGGTGAAGGATTGAAATTGGATGTTTGGAACAATTGTAATTTAATGTTCCTCAATAATCTGGGGAAAGGAGAGGGCTGCCGCCAAAAATGTAAAAGTTGAGGCCCCGGCTTATCGCACACTTTAGCGAGATTAGTCCAGCCATCTAATTTTTCATATCTTATATTAAAAATTCGATTACTATTTTAATCTTTATTATTTTCTATTCAAATTTATAATGGATATTGAGTATGATTATAAAGATGATAATTATAAATTCATTAAAATTGATATACTCCTTAATGCTCTAAAGTTATTCAAACTTGAATTGATAGAAAATCCTAGAATTGGATTACTTCAAATTTGGGTATATTATGATTTACTGTAAGAAGTATATTTAAATCCAATTCGATTTGAAGAATTCAAAAAAAGAAAGCTTATTAAAAACCTAAAATAATTATTAAATAGATTTATCAAATTATAAAAACAATTGTGAAAGATTAAAATGGAAGAAGAATAACCTTTGTATAAATGAAAAATGTACTTAATATTACTATTTCGATATATACAATTCGAAAGGAATTGTATTGATATAGATATAAGAGGTATATAGTATATCCTAGATCTTTTATTTTAAAGATATAAATAAAAAAAGACTAGATTTTATATAGATATCGATGGTAAAGGATTAGTAATATTATTACTGCTAGACTAGGAAGGAGGGATTGGAGACTAATTATATAATCGAATAAAAGCTCTTTCAAGCTGAAAAAAAACAAATAAATATAGGTTATTAAGTAAATTAATAAAAAGAGATATACTAATTATATTAAATCAATATATCAATTAGAAAGGGTATAAATAATAATATAGAATATAATTAACTGGAATTATAAATCTCTATTAATCTTTCTAGAAAGATTTAAAAATAACAAAAGTATTATTTCCAAAGTATATATATAATAAGTCCTTGAGCTTATTATATTTCTATTATTCAATAAACTAGAATCTAAATATATATTTATAAAAAACAGTTCTAAGGTATATTTAGAATATACTCATAAAACTTGATTCAAGTATAATATATAAGACTTTGATTAACTATTCTCTTTTTCGAATCTCAATTTAATTGAAAAGATATAATGGTGAATGAAAAAGAAATTAAAAAAGCTACCATTTGTATTTACTTTTATAAAAGAATTGAAATATAAACTACAAGTTCTTTAGGAAAAAATAGATCCCTTAGATTTCAGGCCATATATTGAGAGATTGACCTGTAAGCTTGAAAATATAATTGAAGTGCAAGGATTAACTATTATTCATTAATATTATATTCAATTTTTATATAATTATATTATATGGTTGATTTATTATTAAATTTTAAAAAATTAGATCGAAAAATGGGCAGTGTGCGATAAGCCGGGGCCTCAACTCTTACAGCAAGGCTGATAACCTAGGGTAGGAAGTTTAATAAGTCTAATCAGTGGCTTGGCTTGGCATTCACTCGCAATCTTGAAGATTGCCGATTGATTCCGCTTCATCACTATTCTGACGGGGCACTTTTTTTATTATTGGTCCTCACTCATTACATGCGATTATCAATTAATTGCGCGACATCCACCTCCCTTGACGATTACATCAATCTATCCTCTGATCACAACTTCAGACGATATTCACAAAAAACTCACAGCCGTATGCAAACGGTTATGGTGGCGCTTAGAAAATTGTAGGATCAGGACAGCTCTTCGAAAGCTCCGCACAAGTACCTACGTCAATCATTCCCCATACTGGCACGCTCTCACCGACACCTCAGAGGAGAACGACGAGAGAGGAACACAACTAAAACATGGCTTCATATTTGACTGTCGGCGGGCCAAGCGGCAGTAGCTCAGAATCGAACCGTGGTCCACGGTAAGCAGATCATTCTGGAGGAGAAGATGGGAAGAAGGATATCAACTGATGGTCGCGTGCAGAAGGAAATCAAGTCGAACAATTAAAGAACAGAACTTGCCTCATGGTCAAGCATCGTGGATCAGTAGCAATGTCAATCTCCTCAATACCAGTATGTTCTACCTTGATCTTTCGGGGGGTGATGCTAACATTGAACCTTCTAGTCGTTGGCGCTGGTACGCTTGCTATGCCCCTCGCAATGTCACATATGGGAATCCTACTCGGAACATTCGTTATAATATGGTCGGGCATGATGGCGGCTTTCGGGTTATATTTGCAATCTCGATGTGCTAGATATCTTGATAGAGGAACGGCTTCTTTCTTCGCTTTATCCCAAATTACCTACCCAAATGCAGCAGTCATTTTCGATGCGGCGATTGCCATCAAATGCTTTGGTGTGGGCGTTAGTTATTTGATCATTATTGGTGATCTGATGCCAGGAGTCGCGACTGGTTTTAGTCAGGGAGCAGAATCGATGCCCATTCTTATGGATCGAAAGTTTTGGATAACAGTTTTCATGTGAGTTTGGCGTTTTACCTTGGATCTGATTATACTGACTTGTCTCTAGGTTTGTTGTTATTCCCCTCTCATATTTAAGACGTTTAGATTCCTTGAAGTATACTAGTATCGTTGCTCTGGTTTCTATTGGATATCTTGTCATTCTCGTGGTATATCACTTTGTTAAAGGAGATACCATGGCAGAACGGGGTCCAATTAGAGGGGTCGAGTGGGCAGGAATAGTCCCAACTTTACAAAGTTTCCCCGTTATTGTCTTTGCTTATACTTGTCACCAAAATGTAAGTTGTGAACACCTTAGTTTTCCGTTGGTATACTGACAGTCATAGATGTTCTCTATTCTGAATGAGATCAAAGATAACTCGCCCAAGCGAACCACAGGTGTTGTTGCAGCAAGTATTGGAAGTGCTGCTTCTATATACGTTTTAGTCGCTATCACTGGATACCTATCTTTTGGTAACGCTGTGAAGGGAAACATTGTTGGAATGTGTAAGTACTCTACTAAAATTACAATTTCATAACACTAACAAGTATAGATATACCATCTACCGCTTCAACAATCGCTAAAGCAGCTATTGTCATTCTTGTCATGTTCTCCTATCCACTTCAAGTACATCCTTGTAGAGCATCAGTCGATGCAGTCTTGAAGTGGCGTCCAAACTCCTGGAAGAGAAGTCATTCACCTACTGGTTCGCCTGCACGCTCTGCTCCTTTACTTTCAGGTGGTCGTGTACGACCTGCCGCAAGGAATGATACTATTGGTGAAACACGATTTGCAATTATTACCACGATTATCATCGCTCTGAGCTATTTTACCGCAGTTACTGTATCGTCACTCGATAAAGTCCTCGCATATGTTGGAAGTACAGGAAGTACAAGTATTAGTTTCATTTTACCAGGATTATTTTACTACAAGATTTCTTCACCAGATTCGATCCACCACCAACGATTAGCAAAAGAAGATGACGAAACAGATTCCGATGAAGATGAGGAGGAAGGTCAAGGTTTACTTGGTCAATCCATCAAGAAGATTACTTGGCGTAAAACCATCTTACGAAAGCTTTCTTTGGCATTGGCTATTTATGGTCTTTGTGTATTGGTCATTTGCTTAACGACCAATCTATTCTTCACAGCCCAGGGGCATTGAAGTTGATTGATAGGGGAGATTAACCTCTGAAGTTTGTATCGCATTTTGAAATCATAAATTGGCAAGGCGCCGGGAGTTTGTCATGGCATTTTGGAAACAGTATGGATCAAAAAAGTCAAACATGGTGATGTTTAGTCATTCATTAATGCCATAATTTTTTTGGGACCTATTTGGATGTATATAGGATTCGGACATGAGGATTATATATAACGGCCTTTCGTCATAATACAAGATATTATTTTTTGATCAAATTTGAAACTGATTCAATGATGCAGATATAGGTATTTTATGTTATGTTATGTTATGTGATTTGATTTGCTTTTTTGTAATTCCTAACTCCTGCTTTATTTTATTTTATTTTATTTTGTTTTACAAATGAACGCCCAGTCCATGCGAGTCCGGTGTGATTTGATTCCATATTCTCACTACAATTCATCCATCATCCACTGATCGATCGATCTATCGTCCATGAATATGAACATTCGTCTCCTCGTTAAAATAAAGTCCCTTGAGTCCCTCCCTCCCTCGTAGCATTTTCGCACACATTGTGGTATGTGTAATGTGTAATGTGTAATGTGTAAGATGTGAATCGCGCCATATATCCTCCTTCCCTTTCCTTTCTTCATTGCATCACACTTCTCTGTTTATCGTATTATCATACCATAGCATACCATACATAGAGAGAGAGAGAGAGATAGGTGGATATAGACTCGTCCGTCCCTTCGAATTTTAATTCTAATTCTAAATGCGCTTGAGATGTATGGTTTTGGGTTTGATTTTGCTTTGTCCTGCGAGTTTGTCGTTTGTCGTTTGTCGTTTACTTTATCTTCCTTCTTGCTCGGGCTTTTTTAGGGGTGAAATTGGAATTGGAATTGTATTTTCAAACGATTATTCTTGATTGGGGAAAATGGATAGGGAGACGGATAGATAGATGAGGTTTTGTTGGGGTGCAGTAGTAGTAGTATGCATGCAAATAGAGGGATGGGATATGGAATTCAAGCTAAGAATCGCTTTTGAGAATGGGTTTGTTGGACCTGGGGGGCGTGGGGGTTTTGGATTGGGGTGTGTATTGGGGTTCGAGGAGGCCGGCCTGTGGGGAGTGTGGTTGGTTAGTTATTGGTTTTTGAGGGAGGGAGGGAGATGGGGATGGGGGTTTGGGAGTTTCTTCTAATTCCCAATTCCCATCTCGTGATATCTGATCTCAGGATATAGTATAGAAAGAGATGACATCCACACAAAATAAAAACAAAACATACCATACTCAACAATCTCCACGCCGTCTTCGACGGCTGCGCCCCAACTCCCAACCAATACTTTGCGCGCAGCGTATCCAGACGAATATCTTTGAATTTTTGTCCCTCGCCGTCCGCGGGCAGTTTGGGGATTGGATCGTAGGTGCCGAGGACTTCGAGCGGGAGGGAGTTGCGAGCTGAGCTGCGGGTGGTGTTAGTGGTGGTGTTTGATGGGAGGGGGAAAATCTTACCGGGCTTGTGCTACGACGATGTTGTAGAAGGGTTCTCTTTTGCGGCCGAAGCGCGCGAGTCGGATGCGTACGACCATTTTTCTGTATAGAGAGGGGGGGTCTTGGTGAGGTAGGGAAATGGGAGAGAGGGGTAATGAGGTGGTACGCGTAGATGATGTGGATGTGATGTGATATGGATGGTATGGGAGATGTTAGATGTGAGATGGGGGAAATTATTTGCGATTCGGAGGTTCTTCGGGTAGCGGGATTTGTTTGGGTGAAAGTGGAAGTGGCGGACATGGGGCGGAGGACAGGGGTGGGGAGTGGAAAGAGGAGAGGAGGGGTAGTGATGTAATTGTGCTTTGTTACGAATTGATGAGGTGGGTGAACTATCTTTGCAGATGTCTATTTCTCCATCTTGGGTTATGAAAGTTGTTTGAGAAAATAAATAGAGGATTATTTATTTATTTATACTTTTCTTTCTTTCGGGATAAGTACGAGGTATTTATCTAACGGATCAGTTGGCGTTCCATCGATCACTGAATGATTGTCGTTTCAATTGATTAAAGCTTAACTTCGTTTAGGTACCTCCAGTTTATCAATATTAAAATCAACTATCCGTCTGATGTATTAAACTACGCTATCAAATTACAGACTACAACTACAGATACAACTACAACTAAATATCTTACTCATACAATCACCATCCATCCATCATGGCAGCCAAAGTAAATCTCCCTACCCTCTCACCACAAATCTAACACAAATCTCACACCCCATAGTACCTCTCCGCCGCCAACGCAGCAGCTTTAGATAAAGATCTCATGTCTCTCGGGGCATTTTCTCTCGATCAATTGATGGAATTGGCAGGATTGAGTGTTTCGCAAGTGGGTATGTATGATTTACTGTTTTTTGTGCGGTTCGTGCTCGGGAGGGGTGATGTATGCTAGGGGTATTTTTTATGAGGGTTTCTTGTGATTTGTGAGGAAATATAGCTACGTGAGAGGATAGTCGGGGAGAAAATAAAGGGGAGAGGATGGAGAGGCGAAGAAAATACAAAGGGATGGGGATATGTATTCATATTAGTGTATGAAGTATATCATCTCGAGACTCTGTTGCTTCGGCCATCTATTGTATTGGACCATTCAAATTCTCGTCGAAAGACGTATCTCCAAGTCAAATACGTCTTACCATCCCATTCCTTTCATCACATTACTCACAACAAAACACAGCACAACAAAACGACTAACCACAGCCCTTTTTAAATCAGTATATAAAGTTCATCCTCCCTCCAAAGGCCGAAGAATTCTCGTCGCATGCGGACCCGGAAACAACGGTACGTAAAATTAAATCCCATCTAAATCCCAATCTAAATCTACATCTACATCTCCCTATCCCTCTCCACCCAATTCCCGTCGTCCAAAACATCACAAAAACTAACGCCCCCAAAATCAGGAGGCGATGGTCTCGTAGCAGCTCGTCATCTCTGGCACTACGGTTACAAACCCACCATCTATTATCCCAAACAGGGAAAAAATGAACTCTATCAAGTATGAAATACTCTTCTATATCTTTCTCTGCTCTCGCCTCTCGCCTCAATTTCTTCTTCCTATGTAATGTAGGACACATATATCTATCTACAGACTTATGAATACTTTAGCCGTGAGATATGAATATACTAATTTGTTGTAGCGGCTCTCTACCCAGCTCCGTAATCTCTCGATTCCGTTTACCGATGATTTTTCAGAAGCTCTGAAAGAATCTGATCACATCGTCGATGCTATATTCGGTATTTCTCACCTCTCCTCTCTCCTCTTCTCCTCCCTTCCCCTTCCCTTCCTTCTCCCCCTCAACCCCACCTCACTAACCCTCCCCCCTTCCAGGCTTCTCCTTCTCCGGCAGCATCCGCGAGCCCTTCCCCTCCACAATCCGTGCTCTAGAAACCACTTCCCTTCCCATAACATCCATCGACGCGCCCTCATCCTGGGACATCGCCACTGGTCCTCCGTCTTCCGGTCCTGGCGCAAACTTCATGCCTCAGTATCTGATTAGTTTGACGGCGCCAAAACCTTTAGTCAGGTTTTTTAAGGGAAGACATTTTTTGGGTGGGAGGTATGATTTTTTCCATTCTTTTTCCTTCCTTTTTCCTTGCCCTTTAGCTGCTTTCGTTGGTTTGATTAGCTAGAGTTATATGTATATATGTATACATACGCCAGGGGATTGAGAAAGCTAACATCAATATCTAGATTCGTGACCCCAGAAATTTCTCAAAAATATAATCTTCAACTCCCAGAATACGAGGGGGTAGATCAAATTGTTGAGATGCCGGTTCAGGAGGAGGAGAAGTTATGACGAATTACTAAAATATGACAGCACAATTAGGAGCAATAGTAGCAAGACTACAAATCTGATAAAATGCAATGTGTTTTTTGTTTGTTTATTCTTATATGCATTGTAAAATTCATCTACTAATCATAATATACATCAATTCATAAGGATCATCTCAAACGCATGATTTGACATGTGTGTTGAATCATTCTTCGTGCTGCGTGACACATGATTAGTCTGAAGATCCAACAAAAGGCAAGCGAAGATTCCAACATACCTCTTCGAATAGCACAAGCACAGTGCCTGCTTTGCAGATATCCTATTCGCACGATTCATTAGCATATACTCCTTAAAACCCTTCCCTGACCTCGAGATCAATAGACTGAAACCCAAGAAAATCTACTCACCCCTTCCTTATGTACCAACTTAGCCACGACTCCCTTCTGTGGACTTCGAATCACCGTTTCCATCTTCATACTCTCAATCCTACACATTCAACACATTAGCATCATTTCACAAATTACCAATGCAAGGAAATACTCACACGACCAACGCCTGTCCCTCCTCCACCTCCTCTCCCTCTCCAACCTCATTTCTCAATACCTTACATGGCATCGGTGCCACCACACTATTTCTCACATCCTTCAATCCCAATGCTTTTTCATACCATCCCGGCGTTGCCAATTGTAATTGTATTTGTTTTCCCTGTTGGAAGAGAGTGATTTTATCATCTTGTCTGATCAATGTGCTTTCAATTCGAGTGTGGGGGAAGAAAGTTGAGATAGTAGGGGATTTTGGCTCGCTGACGATGTTTGCGTATGATTTTTCGACATTGGGTCCCTTTACTGTGATGTTGTATAAATTGCGGTCAGATTGGTCAATGGTTACGTGGTAGATTTCCGGCTTTTCGCTTGATGGTTGAATGACAGGTTTTGTGAAACTAAATTCGCGTTGGACGTGAGAGTTGAAACCAATTGCCTCGCCATGAGGACCTTGGATCGATTTGGAACTCGCGGCAGAAAGTTCTTGGGACAAGATACCAAGAGCAGCTTGGGCAAATGCTTCAGGCTCAATAGTCCCATTTATGAAGAGCTCATCGTGATGTTTTTGTATGTATCCTGTCTCAACATCACCTCGAATGAATGCAGGACTTTTGCAAATCTTTTTGAGAAACTCAATATTGGTACTTAGGCCAACCACCTCATAATCTTGTAAAGCTGCGTGAAGTTTTCGTATGGCTACTTCTCTTGTCGGACCACTCACGATAAGCTTTGCAATCATACCATCGTAGTTTGATGAGACTGTATCTCCCTGAACAAAACCCGCATCTATTCGAACACTTTCCGATAGTTTAGGTGTTCGTAAATGGACAAGCTTTCCAGAATCAGGCATGAAATTTTGATTTGGGTTCTCTGCGTAAATTCGTGCCTCAAGGGCCCATCCACGTTCAGATATTCTTTGAGCTATCGTATCTTGATTAAGTGGTAATGGCTCCCCAGCTGCAACTTTGAATTGCCATGATACGAGATCTTCTCCAGTGATTTCTTCAGTCACGGGATGTTCGACCTGTAATCTAGTGTTCATTTCCATGAAGAAAAATTCATTAGTATCGTTGTCGAATATAACTATAATTTCAGTTAGCTTTGAGACAAAAAATAAAAGGAATGTTTCTCACATTCTACTGTCCCAGCACCCTCATATCCTACAGCAAGTGCAGCAGCACGAGCTTTCTCCCAAAGATCCTGTCTAATGTTTTCCGCTAAGTTGGGTGCTGGCGCTTCTTCCAAAATCTTTTGATGGCGTCTTTGTAAACTGCAATCTCTCTCGCCCAAAGCAACAGCATTGCCATGTTTATCGGCAAAAACTTGTACCTCAATATGTCTTGGCGTAGCAATATATTTCTCAACCAGCATAACATCGTCACCAAAAGAATTTCTCCCTTCACTCTTCGCACTCTCCAGCTTCTCAAGGAACTCCCCTTCAGTCTGAGCAATACGCATACCCTTTCCACCACCGCCCTTCACAGCCTTTACCATAACTGGAAAGCCAATCTTCCTCGCCTCATTGAGTAGATGTTCAGGTTCTTGATTCTCCCCGTGATATCCAGGTATACAAGGTACACCCGCCTTGATCATAATATCCTTACTCCTAGATTTATTTCCCATAGCTTCAATAGCTTTCCAAGGTGGTCCAATAAACACCAACCCCTCCTCTACACACCGTTTCGCAAACGCCGAATTCTCACTCAAAAATCCATATCCGGGATGTAAAGCCTCACAACCTTGTTCCTTTGCCACAGATATAATTCGTTCACCATCAAGATACGCATTCGCAGCACCCAGATTCACCGCGAAAGGACTGGAGAGTGCGTGTTGTGAATTGGCGTCAGGATCCGTATAAATTGTTGTACATCGGACACCGAGATCCGAAGCTGTGCGTCCGACTCGTAGAGCAATTTCTCCACGATTAGCTATGAGAACGGAAGTAATGGGAGTGATCGCAGGAGCGGTGGCATATCGTCGGGAAAAGGAAGGGAGGAGAGCTCGAGCTAGAACTCGAGATCTGGTTGCTGAATGCATTTGAACATCAATTTCAAAGAGTAATCTCTAGATTCTATCAATTGTAGCTTGGGCTTTTGGGTTATGAAAGTCGAGATGGAAGGAAAAAATGCTGATTGTAAGAAGAAAATTGTTTGTTTAATTCCTTAAGATTTATTTACGAAGTAACTTAATTTATTGAATTGATGGCCGACGGAAAGCGTTCTAATGCGGGGCTGAGCATCGGCCGAAATATATCTGGGGTAGCTGGAGAGGAAAACCAGCTAAACCCAAGCTAGAATCTCCATAAAAACTTTATCAAACTCGTGCCGTGCCGAGCGAAACCATCCTTTTCCTAACCTCACTCCGCAATAGTAGCTCAGCAACTAAACTTACTTATTACTCTAGGGGTAAAGCGGATGTAGAGCGATAATGACTAACAAGTCTGGTCAGCTATATTGAAGTTTCAACCTAGCCAAGGAGTCACTTTGTCTTATTATTGTTCATTTCATCTTAGTACCTAGGTAACCTCGAAAGAAGAGCTATGCTATCTATACCATTCCCCCTCTCATCTATAAAACACCACATCTGAGCCGCCTTGACGCAGTTGTTCGAATCACTATTCGGAAGAAACGGTAAATTGTTCGAGAAGCGCAGTCAATGCACTCATATCGAGGAGTGCAACTGGAATTTAACTTGATACCGGTGGGGTTTGCCTCTAACTGGGCTTTTTGCCATTTTGTATGTATACTTGGTGGGAAAGAAATCAATTGGGTCGTATGGACTGCGGTAACTATATGTTGATCTATCATGACCTTATAGAATAATTTGTGTATAGCATGAATACTATATACTAGGTAGTAAGTATTCAATTTCTTTGCCCATATATCAATCTTTGGAGGGGTTGAATGGACAAGGTGAAACGGTTTCTTTGCGTATGGGCATAGACTTGAACATGACTGAAAGAGCGCCTATTATGCAAGTTTAATTGTTGTTTTGTTCCCTATTTCTATACCACATACACTCGCTCAAGATCCAAATAAAATGCTTCCATAATCCCACTTCATTCCCCCGAGGGTATACCTCCCCAGCATCACTCACAAACCTATCCGAAAACCACATCATCCTCCCCCTCCAAACCATCCTCAAATCTAAACATCAAATCACTCCTCATCGTGTACTTAATCCCACTCACCACATCATCCCCACTATGCAACAATCTCCTATGTTGAAAAATCAACACCCTCCCCACCTTCGGATCAACATCCAACCTCTCCTTCATATCCTTCGAATGAAAGGTCGTAGCCCCTCCTCTGAGCATCTCCGAATCTTTCGGGAATTTAGGCGTGTTAGGATCTTTCTCGAGTTCTTGCGCTGAATCATTGAGATAGAGATGAATTGTAAAGAAAGAACGTTCGCTACCATCTGGATTTCCGTAGGCGCCATCGACATGTTCTTTATTTTTGCGTTAGACATACAGACCTTAATCTCCAGTAACAGGGAAGCAAATAGAAAAGATAAACAAACCTCTGAAGTACTGTCCAGCACCATATCTTAAAAATCTCATGCGCTCATTGATTCCTTGTTCAGTGCCCACCCATCTCTCACCACTCCGAAGTCCCAAACTAGCCAATCCTTCCCATCTCTTCCCCTCAAGTACTCCGATATCTTCTTTGATGCCCTTTCCTTGAAGAACTCTTTTCCAGAGACGCGACACCACCTCCTTCTCATCCCAGATAATTCGATCCGAATTCCTATATTCCGTAGAGAGGAATTCATATCCCACACCTGCATTTACCATTGCGGGAGTCCATCCATTATTTTCTGGTCCTTTGAGTCCATTCTCATTCTCATTCACACCCTCATCCCCATCTCCATCTCCATTAACCCCATCAGCGCCCCCACCCCCCACCAAATTCCCATGCGCCCCCTTACTCATCTCCGCCAACCGAATCAACTCCCCACACTCCTCTCTACTCAACACCCCATCCAGCACCACCGCATACGCACCCCTATACTCGCTCAACACCGTCTTCTCAAACTCAATTCTCTGAACCGTAATTTTCTCCTCCGGATTCTCCAGCGGTTGCAAAAATTCCTCCGGTATCTCAACCGGAAGAGATGTATAATTCGTCTTGACCACGTCGTAACCTCTTCTCCCACTCCCACCTTTCGCTTTCCGTTCCTTGATCGTTTCTTCTTTCGGGTTGCTGTTTTGGAAAGAGCCTGTAAGTCGCGAGGCTGTGCCTTTTAATTCAGAGAGAAATGACATTGTGAATTTAGTTGTGATATTTGCATGTACGATATATTATTTATTGTTAGTAAAGAGAGGCACCTTTTATAAATAGAGGTCAAGAAGGGTACAATGGTAAAGGTTATAATCGAAGTAGATCAAGAAATTGGAAAGTACATAAGCTTTCCATAAGGCTGTATTATATTTTTGTGATGGCTGTAATCGAGTCATCCAGGAAGTTGTTGCCTACCAGTAGCATCCTACTATGAGAACACAGCCACCATCTATACAAGGCTTAGCGTCCCAAGGCTGACTCCATGCCCAAGCGACCCCTGTTAAGCGGGGATACATTGACATCATCATTCAGAGAACACATATGAACGAACAGTGTATAATTGAGAGAATTATTATTATTTTTCTAGTATTTGGAGAGAAGACATGAGAAGCAACAATAAATTGATTGCTGATACTGAAAGAAAAATCACTTATCTGTTATGTCACTAGCACTAGCACTCGCTCTCAGAATAATGTAGAATTTCAGTGAGATGAAAAATTGGGAGGAAGAGATATATTATCAACCCAGGTCTAGCTATACTGTGCATGTACAATAAAGTAGGTTCTAAAACTGTGGTACGTTGATTAATAACATCTTGTCTGCCTCTTCCACCCATTGATCCATCCCTTGAAATTTTTCGCTGGAGAGGAGTGATGCAACGAAGACGAAACACTCAAAGGTATCTGATGCTTAATGCTAATTCGTAAGGATCGCCGATGGAGCGTTTTATCTGAAATTGAAGGCTTATGCTGATGTAAAAGAGAAGATGAATGGGGATTTTGGCTTTGCCTCACACCAGGCCGCGCAAAGAAGATGTGGGGGATATCGTTAGGTAAAATAGTGAATAATTTGGACCGATGAATAATAGGATGATCGTCATGTAGATAGAATCCCATGTACACCGTCATCAGGTCACAATTCGACCATCACTACTTCTTCCGGGATTTCCATCGATGCGCCTGCCTTGATCAGTCTGTAAGACCTCAGTTGGACGAAAAGATGAAGAGGTCGTGGGAGAGGCGGGTTGATCTTGGGCGTACTCATGATCATACTCATCGTCTGGATAATCTTCACTTTGAGTTCCTTGACTGTGGTTTTGATCTGCTGGATTACCTTGCTGAGAGTTTTGATGTTGATTTTGGCGATCCTGGGGAATTGACTTTGCTGCAGCCTTGCTACCCTTTTTTCCTTTCCGTCCTTTCGTCTTTGCCTTCTCCAGTAATCTTTTCCTTTCTGCTTCCTGCTTCCTAATACGCCTGTCCTTTCTTTCATACTGCCTAATCAATGCCATGGGTAATTCGCCAAAGATACTCTCATATTCGCAAAACTCGCAAATCCAAATATCTTCAGGATTAGGAGGATGAGTTATGTTCTGATATTCTTGTTGTTGACGACGTTGGCGAGCGGCGATTTGGTACTCTTTGCTCGCTCGACGACGGGTTCTTTTTGGGGGTGCCGTTTGAGGCACACTTTGCTTCTGCGCATGCGCCGATTGTTGGGATTTTGTCTGCATGTTCGAGCCCATCTGTGTTCCATGTGTCATCATTGACCTCGCAGCAGGACTTTGATGCATATTTGTATTTGTTGATCCAGGCCAAGGTCCTGGTGCCGGTACTTGAGAATCAAAAGTAAAAGTGAATTGAGTAGAAGTGGGGGTCGGTTTCTTCGATGCCTGTTGTTGCAACAAACTAATATTCTCTTGACCCCTCGATGGAGTTATGGGAGGTTCTTTCTCGGCGTTTGCAATTGCAGTTGAGATGATCCCTGCATTTTCGTCTTTGCAATCGTCATCAGTAAAAAAGTTTGGCACAGTCTGAATTTTCGAGAGGGGAAAAACTTACTAGGTGTGGGCCACTGGGGTTGTCGTTGTTTTGAATTGCGGCCATTGCCCCAGTTACCCGAAACGTCGGATAAAGTTCTCAAGGGACTTCTACCATTGCGATTTCGGCCATATCTACCTCTTCCGGGACCCGACAAACCTTGAGATACCGAGCCACCGGCATGATAGTATCCTGCACCATTGACATCCTCCTCATCTTGACCAGATATTCCCATTCCTGCTAAATCGTTGGAGAGATGAACTCCATTGATATTTGAGTCTCCGGGTGTAGGAATCTTGCGTTTCTTCTTATTATTTGTATTCTCGAATGAGTCATAACCATCTGCAGAAGAAGCAGTTGAGCCTGGAGGGTGAGGATTTGGATGTTTGGAGTCGGGCTTTTGGACATAGCGGTAGGAACGACCAGAGTTATCAACTGACTGTCTTGGGTAGAGTCGCGTAGAACGAAAAACCTCCTCCTCTTCACTTTCTGGATCTTCTCCATTCCGCCGCGGGATGTAATTTTGATCGACATTATCTACCTGCGGGCGTTCACTTGGATGTGAAGCCTCTACCATGGTGCTTGCCGCAACCTCGTCTCGGACAGTATATGGATAGTAGAATAAGGGAGTTTGAGTTTTAGGTGCGGGCGGGTATTTGATCGATTCGGCGACATTAGGAGAGAGACGTTCACGGAGACTTCTTTTGGGCAGAGGTCTGATGGGACGTTCTGGATGTGCCGGCGATACAACTTCTGGAGACATAGCTCGTGATGATTCGGACGGGGAGTAGCCTAACAAGCATTCAAATACAGAGATCAGCCAATGTAATATACATGAGACAAAGCCCACCATGATTCCTGTTGTCATGAAAAGAATTTGTGGTTGTTTGCCGCTGCCAAATTGGTAGTTAAGAGTGGCGGAATCAATAATGAGAGGTGCCACGCTATGAGAATTTCATACTTGTGTTCATCAACGAGAAAGAGGACATGACATGCCAACTACCTCTAAGACTAAATTTGCGCTCTTCTGAAGGTTCGCGTACGGCAGCAATGTATTTGTTCTCTTCGATTTGAGGGACAGAATTAAGTTTTGGTTGATTTTCCTTGAGCTTTCCTTTCCTACAATAAACAACAAACACATCAGCCAGAAATCTCGCATACAGAATAGGGAAGTAATGACATGTAATTTGTCATCCCTATTCCCAAACCAAAACCCTGAAATGCCAACCATCTTAAGAGACTGAACATAATTTTGCCTCCTTTTTTGAATGTCTGAGGAAGAAATGCGTATAGAGTTGCATACTTTGATTGTTTTAATTGCGAATACTCAGCAATGATTTCGAGAGGGGGGGAAGCCCTAGGAAGATTTATTGACGACTTTGAACCCCACGGACAACAGAATAGTATGAGAGTCTGTGTTTATCTCTCTTATCCAATATAACCCTTTTGAAAAAGCGAGCGATGGTAAGAACAATGAGTATTCAAAATCGGAGGAGGGAAGTTCGAATGCCGAAGTTCGAATTCACTGGTATGAAGTGATCTTGGGGCGAGATAGAAATTAATTTGTCAATAAAGACCTTAATTATTTAGTCGTTTCCTTTCTCACAAATTGGTTACGTTCATTGAACCGAAGATGTTGATGCCCTCCAAGTGCGTTAGCTAAGATTAGATAGCTAAACTAAATAGGGAAGGCGTGGATCAAAGTACCAAATGATTTTGAAATCACGTTGATGAATGTGGGAAAGTGAAGGGGGCAGAAATTATAATGCTGGTACCTGGATGCCCGCCATGCTTTATGGAAGATTTAATTGGCACAGCAGTATCGAGGCAGGTGCATTAATCATTCATCTATCTGTATCTATCCACCTACTGAGATACCCGTGGACTACTAGGGACTCATAGAAACGGTATCTATCTACTTATTAGACAGTCTCACAGTACTTCCTTGATGAATGACAGCAAGCACTAGGTCACCAATACTCAACGGTATTGATGGAAAAAAGTCAATTGCTAGAAATACTGTATAACCTATCTAGGTACTTATGCACGCCGTGGATATACTAGCACTGCTGAACGACTTTTGATTGATGTCATCTAGATCACTTATTATTAATAATGCATACCCAGATAGGTAGCATATATCTACCACCTATGAATGAGCTCGTAGATACTTGGGTTGTATGACTCTGTAGATCTACCTAGTAGATACTAATTAAGGACTTCGCTTGTGATAAGTATATCGATAGAAAAAGTTCAATGATTACTAGATTGACCATCGCCTTGCCATATCGATGTTTATTGTCAATTTCAATCCATCAGGCGTCACTGGAAAATCTCATTGATTGGTGGTATATGTATATAATATATACAATATATACTTATTACTAGCTAGGTATTTATTGATGGGGCAAGTCCCCAAACCCCCATAGCTCGCTGCGCTCGAAGGTATCTCTCTTTTTCCTTTCCATATAGTCTGCCTCCACGGCAGTGGCTCCCAGAGGGCCAGCGGAGCGTCATTCAATCAATTGATGGCAGAACACTCTTCTGAGATATTGATATTTCCCATCCCTAACACTTTCTTCAACCACGTCCGGGCTGAATACCAGAAGACCCGATCTATCAAACGTATAAATCGTACAGTAGGCGATATGAGGCAATTGTACCTACTACCACGAGTAGGTAATAATAAGTATTGTGCTCACCAGCTGGTCGTTTTGTGGATGATGCGGTAGGTTCATGTAAGTTGTCATTGGTTCACACAACCTTCCATATAAAAGAAAAAAGAGGAGAGAAGATCCAATTGCGTTTAGTAGCTCTTCAATATTAACAAGGAAATGTGAAGGCAATATTCTCATTGGTCAGTATTTTTCCATTAGTCACTCCAAAGTTTCCCTTCGCTCTTCACATATTCCGAACGGAATTTGGCCTATGCCTACCTATGCCTAAGCACAATACTTACTCACTAGGGAATTTGGCGGGGACGAAAGGGCAGCTTGGAATTTAGTAAATTATTTCCTTTCGCTCTTTCCTCACTCCTCACTCTCTTCACACCCGCAGTCATGATTACACCAGGAAACTTTATCCACCTTCCTATTTATCAGATCGCATATCTTCGGGTTCCAATTTGGTTCTCTAAGCTCTAATCCATACTCAATCGTTTTCCAAAACTCACGTTGCCTTCCTTCTCTTTTCATTCGACTCTTGGTTTTGGTTTGGGAAGACTGGAATTAAAAGCTTCTCGTCGAAGTAGGAGGAGGACTTCAATTACAATCTCAATTCACAAATTACAAATTACACATTACATACACGCTCGAGATTTACCAGAATTTTAATCTATTTCGCACATACCGAATCTCGAATTCAACATTACCTTTGTACTATTATAATCGTTGGGGATGGATACTACTAGGCGTTCGTCAAGGGCTGCTCGAGGCAGTCATCCTTCTCAAACTAATTCTCATCATTCTTCAGCTTCCTCGAATTCTTCTAGTCGCGCAGAGAGATCTACTCGCTCAAATAATAAAGTCGAATCTCCACGAAAGTCGACTCCAGCCGCCTCACTTTCCTCGGACTCTCCTGACGACACAGTCACGGCCGAAGATAGTTCCTCGACACGTCGAAAGCGAGGCCGAGTTGATGGAGGTGATAAGTTACAAAAAGGACAATTAGTTGATGAAGACATAGTCATTGGTGCAGATGAGGGAGGCGATGACGATGAAGCTGTTCGATGCATCTGCGGTTACGATGAATATCCCGGACCGCCACAACTCGAGGACGACGATAACAAGAATAATATAAAAGATGGAATTGAGGAGCCAGTCATAACAGCAGCGGATTTCACAGAAGATTTGGCTGGATTTTTCTTACAATGCGACGTTTGCAAAGTCTGGCAACACGGCGGATGCGTTGGAATCATGAACGAAGATACAAGTCCCGAAGAATACTTTTGCGAACAATGTCGTAAAGAACTTCACAGAATCCGTTCGGCGTCAAATGGGTGAGTCCTTTTTTTCGCATCAATCACATATACCCCCATTCAAGAGATTCACTCGAATTGTCAGCATCCACGCGAGACCGTGGCGCAGATCGAAGTCTCACAAGATTGATTTCTTAATTGCGCAAGAACCTTAAACAAATAATCCCAACTCAAGAAAAAATCGATGATAATTCTGACATGATGGATCGCAGACAACGCTACTCTTTGTACCTACCCCTTCACCCGAATCTCTCCAGAACAACCTCTCGAGCGGCTTCATTTTCCAAAGACGGCACAAGATCACCGAAAGGTGGCAAGAATGGTCGACCAAGCTCCAGCTCCGCAAGCACAAAGAGGCGCTCAACAATGAATAGTAGAGATGCTGCTTACTTTGAAGCTGCTGAAGAAGAAGCACTTCGAAAAGCCATAGCAGCTAGCGTCGCAGATATCCCAGAAAGTATTGATGGCCGGAGTCGCAAAGCAAAAAGAAGCCGGAGTGACAGCGAAGAGTAAGTAATTGTCATTCTATTCGCGCAAATTACTCTAATTACTCTTAGTAGCAAACACGATGGACCCAAAAGACAACGGACGGACTCGGCTTCTCCTACTCCTGAAGACGACGAGAAACCACAAGAGGCACCCCACTCTCAAGCAGAATCTGAGGACAGCACAATCGTGGGAAATGGTCGATTTGGAGCAGCTAAGAAGATAAGGGGAGCAGCAGCTAAAAACCATAGAGAAAAGGAATTAAGGGAAGAACGAGAAAGGTCGAGGCTGGAAGCCGCAAATAAAAGGAAAGGTCGAGCTGAACGGCGAAGAATTGAAGGTCAGTACACTCAAATACGTTATGATGTAGCAACAACTCACAGTCGCCTAGATTCAGAGCCTGTTGAAGAGACTCCGCCGGCGATAAAACCTCCAAGCAAGAACCCCGAGGTATCTGCCCAACCGCCAGATCCGCCCCCAGTGTCACAAACGATAGCGCCAGATACACCTCCTCCAGTTCTGCCGCCAGTTTCGCATAAGAAAGGTGGCAGACCTCCCAATCTTCGAAAGGGTAAATCGGGCAAAAACCAGTACACTAGGGAAAAGGACGATAACAACGCTCTATCTCCCAACCGATCTCAATCTAGAGATATTCCACGTACGGACGATAACGTACAGACAACAACTAGCAGAGCTTCACATAACGAGAGCAAGACTAGTAAGGCAAAGACCAGCGTAGGAAGCAAAATTAGTATGGCTGAGATGAGGAAACGTGCTACAAATATCCTCGATTTCATATCACGAACTCAAATTGAATTGGCTGCAGACCCGTCAATACTTCCAAGTGGCAGTGGAGCAGAGAAATCTCTTCGGGGACTGGTCGAGGAGACTCTCCCTATGATACAACTTAATGGCGCAAATGGAAAACAGGTGGCTCGAGGCGAAAGTGAAACACCAAAGGAATTTAAGGATTTAACGTGTCTGGAAATGATGGACATTCTTACTAGGCAATTAGTCAAATGGCAAAAGGAGTATGCATGAAATCTGGCGGGTCAACGAATGTGGGTTTTATATTACTGGTTTTGGGGTTGGAGTTTGTATGTATATCATGGGTTTCGAATGGCTATACGGCGCCCAGAGGCATATTGATTCTATACCCTACTTCACGGCTACGTTAGTTAATGGCATTGGCATATTCTCAACTTGGACTCTGTAAGCTGATTACAAATTGTGATGAGATGCGAGTGGTTCAGCTGATCAACCAGTCGTCTAAGGACAGTGACTTATTGCTGCACGACTCAGGGCTTTTTATGTGGTATTGTTATCTAGAAGCGTCGTATCCGATCGTACATGTGACAAGTTGCGGCTGGACTGAAGAAAAAGCAAGATTCACCTATGAAATCCCGGCTCTTGTACAACCATGCGCGGATGGCGCCGCAAAATATGCAAATGGATAGGATAGGATATGGTACATACCATATGAGCAAGTGTGAATAGATTGTGTACGAACAGATTGTGTACAAACAC